CGTTCGCCCGACGGCAACCTGACGCTGATGCGCACCGCATCCTTGGCGTCCGGACCGGGCTCCTCAGCGATCGACTGGGCTCGCCATTGTCTCCACTGCTGAAGATCTTGCATCCGCTTCTCTTCCGCCGCCTGGCGCTCGGCCGCTTCTTGCTCTTCTCGTTGGCGGGCGGCCTCCGCCTCGCGTCTCTGTCTCGCCCGTTCGCGGTCAATGGCTAGAGAACGCTCATAGGCCGAATCCTGCTGCTCGCGTAGACTGCGAGAAGCCTGCTGTTCTGCCCGAGTGGCGCGGATGCCCTCCAGAGGCTCTTTGTTCTGAGCGATCGCGGTCCGAAGCTTTGCCACAAATTCGGCTGGGGAGGTGGTTCCCGGTATGCGAGCCACAACAGACATTGCTGTCGAAGAAACACTGGGAGTGTGGACGACCGCAGCCGCAAAGGGGAACTTGGTGCACCGTAGCGAGTTTGAAACCTGGTATGCTTCCGAGTCTTGAATGTTTCCCCCCCATACGAGAATATCATTCTGCGGATCGGTGACGAAGTCGGTGACCTCCCGCGAGAGCAGAGTGTCGCGGACCCAGCCATGCGTATCATCGTGTTCGGGGGCAAGCAGCACGACAAGAAGAAGCTTCAAGTCCCGGTGAGCCTTCTCCAGCGCCATGTTGTATCCATTTTCCAAGAAACCGATTGAGTTGGTGCCGTACTCCTCCTCGAATTCCCGGATGAACCGGGCAGCGGTATCTTTCGGCCCCAGGGGCCGGCGGCCATTGGTATTTCGGCGTGAACCATGAAGAGCAGGACTGGCTGTGGTATTGAAGAGTCGCGGGAGGAAAGGAAAGAGGGAGCCGAACAAGCGGAAAGAGCTGTACAGCAGTCTGTAGAGGAGATTGAGTGGGGTAAAGAGGAGCGCCAGAATGAAAGGCGGGCGATAGACAGGCTGATCCTCAGATTGAGTAGCTATCCGAGGAGCTGGCTCAGCAGAGCGTGTGGATGGGGAGAATTGCGCGCGGAGGTCATCGCTCAGTAGGTTCTGCGTCTGTCGAGTCGGCCTGGGAGGAGGGGTATTCAGAGCTGCGCGAGCTTCTTCGACCGGGTCCGGACCTTCACCGTCAAAGAATTTCGAGATGGCGATCTGCCAACCGCATAGAATTAGTACTGGCGCAGACTAGACTAGCGAGGTAGGAGTTCTCGAAGACCTACCTGCACGTTCCATTCCGAACGTCGTAACAAAGGAATAGCCTCCAAAGGATCTTGGCCCGTCACCGCAATATAAGTTTCAAGACCAGCCCTCTCGCTGTCGGACAGCTGCGATATGTCAAGCCCGGACGAGGACATTGTCAATTGATGCTCCGGGCCATAAATGGGTGTATGTCGGGGGGGGAGGGGGGTTGATACGACGCCGCGATTAGGCAGAGAAACCGGAACCGGCGGGTTTAGCCTTGGAGGGTGGAAGAGGTCAAAAGGTCTCAGGGTGTCAGTAAGTAGTACAAATGATAAATTCTTTCGGAAAGGCAAGAGGATAGCCTGCCTGGGGGAGTAAATAAACAAAGAAAAAGGAGTGTCGCAGTCGCAAGAATAAGTTTAGCTGGCCTCAGTGCCGCAGTGATGAGAGCTCCGTCATCGCGCAACTCACCGAGGGCCGTCACGCTCCGGAGTAGACGCGCGCTTGACGCATGGGGTGGTCCGTGCCCAAGTGGCAGTACCGAGTGCAAGAAGGCAGACCGCCCGACCGAGTGTCGAGTTCCCCTCTCCCTCCCCCGCGCGCCCTTGGTACGCATGCCCGCCTCGTTGTCTCGTCCCATCCCCCATCCCATCTCATACCATAGCATGACGATATCAACCGGAAGTCTTGTCTACGGACGGTGAGTCATTGCTTGACGCACATCGGATCTTACCACTGCACTTCCCGGCGAGGGACGACGGCAAGAGCTTGACCTCTGCACCACAAGCCACCTTCATTCAGCCATTCCCTATTGTCGGTCCCGATCGACTCCAACCACACTCTTATTCCTAGAGGAATGTGGTTTCCTCTAGAGTCTGTTTTTTCGACTTTCTTCCAATCTCATTCGATGGGGATTTCCTTGCGTTAATGCGTGCCGAACTGTGGATTCAAGAAATACCATGGCCTCCACTGGGAAGTCGACTACCACTCTCGACGACTCTCGTCGGGCAACGGGCTCGCCTAAGATGAAGGCACGAGGTTAGCTACATAATTTCCTATCGCGTGAGGCGAGCTTTGGCTGTCCACGGTCGTACGTGATAGCATGGGCAATTCAGCTGATATTGTGCTCTGCGGACCTAGCGGAAAATGCGAAAGATACCCTATGCCGGAACGTTACGATCTACGGGCGTTGTCGATACGAGGATAAAGGTATTTGCTATACTACTACCATCTTGGGCCAAATATCCATCTAACGCTGGACGGGGCAGGATGCGCATTCAACCATGACCCTCACAAAGTGAATTCATATGCGGACAGGTGGGCGCCCTCGAATCGGCGCAGGAGCGATGCGCGAGTTGGGCTTATACGTCGTTCGCAGCTTGCTGACTTTTGTGGATTAGGAAACGCTTGAACGTTGACTCTCCGAGCTTTACACCTACATTACTATCTTCCAATGGATCCTCTCCTACTATCGCATCTGCAACCATGAAAAAGACGGCAACAATATCACCCAAGGCTGCGAATGCAGCCCCTTTCCAACCACGGGGGATTTCATCACGTATGCCATGCGTCACTTCACCATGAAAGAGCTTTTCGTCTGACTGCAATAAGGGTCCAATTCCAGCACACCAACTACGCGACAGGGAACGATGACTCCGGATTGGTCTGTCGCGGAAGTCCAGGAATTCGTTCCTCAGGGCTTCGATGGGTCGCATATGGTACGATTCTGCGCCTATAGCATTTCATACTATGTTTCGACGTCTCGCAGTTGCGGGCCACAAACACCGCAATTTGGCAGCGTTGTCATTCGGGCGTTGACTGATACTTGTATTACAGGCTTCCCTACAAGGAAATGGCACTTCGACCATTCCCACGACGACTGCATTCGATCCTTTTGTGACCTCGCCGAATCCACTTTCTGCTGCCAATGCTGTCGGCCCGGTTCAAGCGAACCCATTCACTCATGATACAGCTGCGGCGCTGGGAGGCGCCGCATTCTTTGCGAATCAGTCCGGCTTCCAGCAACCTGTAAGTTTTATTACTCGGAGGCTTAGAAGATCATTCACGAACCTTTGTCGTCCAGGTTCAATACCACATGTACGCTCCAATTGGACCACACAGCCAAAATACCTTGGGCTACCAGCGAAATGTCCACGATCTCTTCCTTCCGAACGACTTCCGAGAAGAACTACAAAAGAAAGCAGCGGCCACACTGCAAACCTTACCCAGTGAGTTGGATGACAGTCACGCGTGTGAGAACAGCAGCCGCTAATCCTGCACAGACACTCAACTACCCGCTCAAGTGGATTACTTCCACTCTCTCGTCCCTCTTGACCTGAATCATCAAAAGAATGCAGCCATCTTTGGCTATCCTAGCTGGGTGTACAAGGCCCAATCCAGCAAAGACGGAAACTTTTACGCCCTTCGAAGATTAGAAGGTAGATTTCACTCAAAGCTCGCCGGTTCCTATATCAATACTGATCATCCAACTCAGGGTTCCGTCTGACCAACGAGAAGGCGATCCGATCTGTCCAAGCGTGGAAGCGGGTATGCAGCGGCAGCGTTGTGACAGTCCATGACGCCTTCACTAGTCGGAGTTTCCAGGACAGCTCGTTGATTTTTGTGACGGATTACCACCCGCTGTCCAAGACCCTCGCCGAGCAGCACCTGGGCGCTGGAAATCGGTTCACCGGACGCCAGAACACCCACATCCCCGAGCAGATCCTGTGGAGCTACATGACGCAGCTCGGCAACGCCCTCAAGGCGATCCACAGCAACGGCCTCGCCGCGCGCATCATCGACGCCAGCAAGATCTTGCTGACGGGCAAGAACCGCATCCGGCTCAGCGCCTGCGCGATTCTGGACGTGGTGCAGTTCGACACGCAGCGGTCGGTGGCGGACCTGCAGCGGCAGGACCTGGTCAACTTCGGACAGCTGATCGTGACGCTGGGCGCCAACTCGCCCAGCGTGATGCACAACCCGACGAAGGCGATGGAGCACTTCACGCGCGCCTACAGCCCGCAGCTGAAGAACTCGGTGTTCTGGCTGCTGAACGGGCTGCAGAAGGACCAGGACCGCAACATCGACATCTTCATCACGGGCATCTCGTCGCAGCTGATGTCGACGTTCGACTCGGCGCTGCACCTGGACGACCAGCTGACGTCGGACCTGAGCCGCGAGCTGGAGAACGGGCGGCTGGTGCGGCTGATGACGAAGCTGAACCTGGTGAACGAGCGGCCCGAGTACGAGCACGACCGGCAGTGGGCGGAGAACGGCGAGCGCTACTTCCTCAAGATCTTCCGCGACTACGTGTTCCACCAGGTGGACGCGCAGGGTGACCCCGTGGTGGACCTGGGGCACGTGCTCACGTGCCTGAACAAGCTGGACGCCGGGTCGGACGAGAAGGTCACGCTGGTGAGCCGCGACGAGCAGAGCTGCTTCGTCGTGAGCTACAAGGAGCTGAAGAAAGCTCTGGAGTCGTCGTTCCAGGCGCTGCTGAAGCCGTCGGCGGGGCGGAGGATTCATTAGTCGGCTGACCTAGCTTGGCTACAGCTCGATGTTAAGCTATATCGACCTGCACTTCGCCTTATATAAACCGCGTTGCGCGGAGTGAATTGACCACCTATTTACCGACATTGTGTACCCTGGGGAATTCGGTTCCTTGGGCGAGTAGGATGAGACGTGGGATGGAGGGGGCAGTTGTTCTGTCTTGCTATTTGAGGGCCACGTTGGACCAAGAAAGCCCCCTCCGACCTTCGCATTGCTGTTTGCGCATTTGGACTACCTGCCGTGGCAGTTGAAAGATATCGATGAGAGAACTAGGTAGAAATATAAGCAATTGTGATTACCATTTGATCTTCGTCTGGTTCTGTTACCACCGCCGCAGGCCACAGTGCTAACCAATCCAACCAGCCCCCCAGCATAACCAAGACGCAAATCCCATAACTAACATAAGGTATATACATAAATCCGACCGAACCCAGTCCTTAGCCCAACCCAACCTCTACCCTAAACCACCTTCCGCCCCCCTTCAAAAATAGATTAAAGGATTAATCCAAATCCGGCACCGGCAACCCATTCACAATGCGGACCTTCCGCCCCAACCGATCAAGCGCCTCCTTGGAGTTCCGTGCACGCAACGCACTAGTCTCCTGATCGGAGACGAGCACAAAGTCGTAGGTAAGGCAGGCGTGGTCCTCGGGAACGTTGTATTTGGCGGCGAACTCGGGACCGGCGGTGCCGATGTCGACGACGAGCGAGTCCTTGACGCCGAAGACGGCGTCGGAGGTTTCGTAGGGGTCGTTGCGGAGGTAGAGCGCCCTAACCCACCAACCCCCCCCAGGATTCAGATTAGCATGCCTGCCAGTCCAGCCCAGGAATACAAAAGGATACATACGTAATCAAATGATCGAACCCCTCCTTCTCAAACATAAAATGCATATGACTCGGGCGATACGGATGGCGGCCCAGCACCTTCAGGAGTTTCCCGACGGGCCCGTCATGCGGGATCGGGTACGGCACGGGGGTGATGGCATGGAACCAGAACACGCCCTCGGCGTCACTGCGCATGATGCACCGGCCGTCCGGGCCGTCGTGGTCCGGGTACTGCACGTCGTAGTGGCCGGTGCTGTCGGTCTCCCAGATATCGATCTTCACGTTGGACACGGGGTTGCCGGCGGTGTCTTTGATGGTGCAGACCACCAGCAGGGGCTGGCCGTTGGGGTCGTGGGACATCGCGGCGCCGGCGGACAGCTCCTCGGCTTCGTGGGTGTGGAAGGGGCCGAGCACGGTGCCTTCGGTACTGCCGGCGGGTTTGGGGTGGTCGATGCTGTCGACTAGTAAAGAAAGGCCGAGGATGTCGGAGAGGAGGATGAATTCCTTGTCTTTTTGTTAGTTGTCTTGGATGGAGGGTAATGTGCTGGGTGCTGAGGGGGGGGGGAGGGGCGCCCTACCTGCCGCACATCCGTACAGATCTTGCCCACCTCGGTCAAGAAGCGCAGCCCCGTCATCCATTCCTCCGTGCTCAGGCGCGTCTCCCGCGCGAAGTCGTGCAGGTGGGTGACCAGCCGCTCCAGGATGTATTTCATGCGCTCATCCGGGCACAGCGAGTTGATGCGGATCACGTTCTCGGTGATGTTATCGATCGTGAGATCTTTCATGGCGGGGATTTTGACGAGGGAGGGATCCATTTTGTTGATTGTTAGCTTCAAAGCTGCTTTTGCTGTACTTTGGGGGGTTATATGGAGAAATGGAGAAGAAGAAAGAGAGAATTCCAAGGATTCCAAGGAGTAGAAGAAAGTAATTGTGAGAGCTAGCTGGGTCGGGGGAAGTCTATATACAAATACGTATGCCGTAGGTAGCTCCGCGGGGTGGATTTTCTTTCCCCACATTCTGGCGGGGGGGAGATTCAATGGGCAACCCAGTCAGTCCGTAACAGCTGGCTCCTCACTGGTCAATGCCCGCTTCCAGCTACATCGGTCAGCATTAACTCAGCTGTTCCGGCTATTGCTATTTCCGTATTGCCGGCCTCAACCTACCATCCTCCATCGTACACACAGCAACAATTGGATACCCTGGTCATGGGCATCCGATGGGTCAGGAAGCAGGCTAGACTCCTAGCCCTCTTTCTTTCGCCCCGACCCATCCGATCAGTTGTGGGGGGATAAGTCAACGGACGCAACATCCCCGCGCGGCGTGCCGTTCACTCCGCATCTGATAACATCGAAGGAGATTTCTCGTTGATTGCCCACTGATGGTCCTGGCCAGATAATTGATACGTTACTCTACGTACTACCGAACATGCCTCAAGGTGACCATAGAGGTTTACCTTGGTTATCCGTCCCAGTACTGGCATGGCCACTGTGGGTCATGTGTGATACCAAGAGAACAAGCTTCCCCCCAGCGGATCAACCATCGGCAGTTCTTCATCCGCTTCGGGAATGACCTCAAGCGATCCATCATCGTCCGTTTTCCAAACACTACTACACTGAACTACTATCCCCTGATTCAATTCGGCCTCACTCCAGAACAACCAATTCATATTCAACACTTCTTAATATGCAGCATACGACAAACAACCGGGATATCTGCCAGACTCGCTCAACAGTACACACAGAAAAAAAGAAAAAAAGAGAAAAAAAAAAAAGAAAACAGAATCAAGGTAAACATAGATACAAAACTCCAAGTCGCGCCGGGTCATTCAATCCCACCGGCCTGCTCTCCCGCCAACGAAAATATACACTATGCTCGCACCAACTTCCGTTCCCGGTCGCGCTCCTGCTCGCGCTCGCGCTCGCGTTCTCGTTCTCGCTCCCGTTCGTTACTGACTTCATGCCCCTCCTTGGCGGCAGCCGCCACCCGCGCGTGGTGGTCCACCGTATCCAAGATCGCCTGCATGAGGCGCGAATTAGCATCCGGGGCGTCATCATCCTGCGCTGCGTCAGCATGCCGATGCATGCTGATGCGTCGGTCGTGCGTCATCACGTTGCTCCCCTGGATTTCGCTCATCGCGCGACGAGGGGATAGGTCTCTCTTGAAAGGCGTTCCCACGGCCGGACCAGCCGTCGCGGTTGGGGCCGACTCTCGTCGCGTACTTAAGTCGACATGGTCATGGGCGTGCGGTCGGTCCACGTCCATCATCGTCGGCTCGGAGACCGGGGTCTGCGCCGCGGAGGGAGGCGCTTGCACCGAAGAGGGTCCCATGGCGGTCGCCGAGACCTCCTTGGCTGGCCCTTCCTCCATCCGCTCCCGGGAGCTGCGGTCCACCCGCGTCTCCCGCAGCTCATCTTCCTTCACGTCCTTCCAAGAACACTTGGCGTGCTTCTTCGTACAGCCCATACAGGCCGTCAGATTCTTTAAACAGTCCATGTGAAGACGACGACACCGATCACAAGGGGGCATTATCCGTTCTCCACGCTGCAACTCCTCCATGCGGGCCACCATCTCCATTTTGTGCGGGCCCCCGTCATCCTTATCATGGTGGTGGGACTTGGGCGGTGGTAGCAACGACGACGGCGTACTCGGGATGGCGACGGTGGTGGGGGCCGGAGTATACATGTTGTACTCCGACGCATCCGACGCTCGCGGGCGCGGTCGTGATGACTGTCGGGCTGACGAGTCGGGGCCTTCCTCATAGGGCCGGGACTGTCGGTCTTGCGTAGTGAAGAACTTCTTCATTAGCTCGGCGCGCGTGGTCGGCGACGCGCCTTTGATAGAGGTGCCGTTGATAATCGTGACGTTGTCCGTGTTCGAGTGCGAAAACATGAATTGCGACGAGAGCGAGTTCTCCTCCACAGCAGCTTCGCCAGCGCCGGGCCGGCCGGCATTGACCGCCACAAAACCAGTGGAAGGAGAGTGAGCGCTCACCGGAGCGCTGCCATTGAGGACTGGGAGTCCATGTCCGTTCGCATCGCGCCACGCAGGACTCATGGAGCGATGTTGCTGTTGTCGTTGCGAATGAAGGGACATGTCGTTTTCTCGACGGGTCACGATCGCCGTCCTCCGGTTCTTCAGGCGATGATTGAGTTGTCGGGCCCGCGCGGATACTAAAATGCAACCCGTCAGTAAATCTCATCTTTCAGGTAAAGGCGTAGGTCTGAGATGGGCTGACCTTGGTCGGCCACCTGGATGATCTGCTGGAGATTCTTCTCCAGTATCTCGAGCGCGCCCAGTTCCTTCTCTTCGTCTTCAATGATCGGCTGAGGCGGAATCATCTTCTGCGGCATGCCTGATGCAATCAGGACGAAATCCTCCTCGCTGATCTCCACGCGACACTGTTTGGTGTAGAATTGACAGACGCGCACGCCATTGCGAGACTTCTCCAGGTTAAACTGTTCCGGTTTGTTTTTGGCGAATTCCACCACGTCTAGCCAGGTGACGTTGGGGGAATCCTTGCCGTGGGACTTGAGCACGCGGGGCGGTCCATCGAACAGGCGCTCGAAACGCTTGATCAGAATGGGGCCTAATGGACAAGCGCCCAGGTTGCCGGCGATACTCTCGTGTCGGTGCAGAACGCCGTCATACTCTCCAATCAAGTGAATGATTGAAGGCATGGTATCCTCGACGGAAACCAGAGGCAGATTGTCCGGATACTGACGGGCCAGGTAGTTGATCTGCAGGTGGTTGGAAGGCTTGGGGACTTTGGATGCGATAGGAGGAAAGTCGCCGGACGGCGATCGCGGCCGCTTACTGGACGGCTCAGCCGTCGCAGGTCGTGACTCCATAGTGATGATAAGAAGGGGCGGGAAGAAGAAGAAGGAAAGGTGGTGAGGAGGGAAGGGGGAGAAGGAAGGGGAGCGGGGAGAAGGGGAGGGAAGAGGTCCTAGGATCGCGACTATAGCGGTAGTCACAGAAGAAAAAAAGACCAAGGCGGGGAAGGGAAAGGGAAAGCGACGGAGCGAGCTGAGAGGAGAAAAAGGGATTATTGAGGGAATGAGTAATGGGAACGCTGGCGAAAGACAGGCTGCCGATGGCGGAGCATAAGGCTCCAGAGTGCGGGCTCCCAATCAGCCACTGGGCAGCGCGTACTGCGTTCAAGTTAGGTAATCGCGATAACCCCCAGCCGATGCAAACCGGGATGGAGGACACTGGGATGAATGGGATGAGTGGGGGTGGGACAAGCAGGAAGTGATGAGAGAAAGAAAGGTTGAGCGGGTAGTAGTAAAGAAGGTGGAAAAGAGGAGAGGAAACGTTGGTAAAAGGATAAGGGAGGGAGGGAGGGAGGAGGAGGAGGAGAGAGGAGAAGAGGAGCCGACGGAGAGGAAGAGGAGAACGCGACAATCGCGAGAGAAGGAGAAGCACGGAGCAGTCGGACCCAACTGTATGTACTGTACTAGCAGAAAGAGGAAGGTCGGAAAGCGGGCAAGTTGAACTGAACCGCTTAACGAATAAACAAATTCTCAGTAATTCAATGCTTTAGAAGAAGGAAAGAGAAAGAGAAACCAAGGGGAGGTCGGGGTTCAACCCATTTGGTTGCTTGTTGGCCGGTTGGTCCGACAAGCGGGTTGTGGTTCGCAGAATCGCAGATAATCACCGCAGGGGGAAGAGAGAGGGGGGTGGGGGGTGGATAAAAGAAAGAGCAATGAGTGGATAAGAATAGAAGACGGACAGGCAGACGGACGGAGGAGGAGGAGGAGGAAAGCAAAGCAAAGAGACGGAGGGGATGGCGGAACGGGCGAGCCCGGAAAGTCACCTGCTCCAGTCTGGATCCCAGGTTATTATTATCTTTCGCACTCACTCTCTTCCGATCTTCCGCAAACATTGAAGCAGGAGGAAGAAGTAGTAATTATTTAACCTATGCAGTACGTACTGTGGACTGTACACCCTGGACACCCCCTCCCTCAATTCCCAACCACACAAGAGTCAGTCCATGTCCATCCATCCCAATCTTCTTATCATCGTGGGTGTCCTGCTGGTGGATGCGTAAGCAACAGGCAGGGGCGGAGTCCCGCCGGGCTCTTCCGCTGTCCATTCGGATGAGCCGTAACTTGTCACTGTCATGACCAATACAGTCGAATCAATTCGATACCATCGTGACAATGGCCACCATTGAAAATGCTTATCCACAAGCCCACTGCGCGAGGGTGCATCGTTTTTGCCCCCTTGCGGACGGACCCTCAGGAACGAAAGTACCACGATGGCTACAGGAAAAGAGTACAGACACGTTGCCTGGCGGTTGGATCCTGTCTCCGGATTTGATGTCATAGGGGGAGAGGGGGAAAGCAACAAGCGACAGTCCGCCCCCGTCCTTCCCTCACTAATTGACCGATCACCACCGAATAGCTCGACGGTCTCGCCCCATGTGCTGCTACAGGCGCGCTCCGCCAGGCAGGAGGGAGGATCGTCGATTTTCTCCGTGTGCTATCCACGGACTCCGTACCACCACTCTTCGTGCGCCCATCTTGGAGGTTGACGGAAAGGAGACGGGCGGGTATTATGATACTGCAAGGCGTACAGTACGGTGTACCGTAGACACACGCATGGGCCTGACCTGAAATTGGTGCCTAATGAGCCTGGAATCGAGGTTGCCAGGCCGATATCCATCCGATTGACCGGTGTTCCAGCCACATCGATATCCAATCCCCACGCTAGACCGGGCCGGTGGTCAGCTATGGGTCAGGTATTGTCAGTGTCAACGGTGTGACCAACACCGTCTCCTACTCTTCAATAATCTGGCCACCTCGTGACAAAGATGTTAGTATTTGATGTTTCAATTGCGTGCTGTGTGTATTCCTGGTAGTCGTAACCCAGTGGAAGTGGGTGGATGAGTTGCTGCGTGGTGTGCGCGCTGATAGTCAATAGTACATCAGTGTGACCTGGAGCTTATGCCACCGATGTTTATTTATATCTGTAAGTATACAGGTACTGAAAGT